AATTTTGCTAAATGAATTTTTCATTTAAGCGCTGTAGTTCTTTCAGGGATGACTATGTTGAGGCATTGAAGCTAATCAAATCGACAGAACTTTTATTTGTTCAGTATTCTAGTCTTCTGAATAAATTGACTATTGGAGAGGTACGTTAATTCCTATCTTCTAATATTGAAGAAATCCATAGAAAGACATAAAAGCTTTTTAGAGCGATGACTCTCTGGTAGAGGCGCCTAATCCAGAAGAATTGTACAAATTTATTATCGCCCTCATAGAGGATGCCACTTCCAAGAGGTATACATAGACTTTCATATTCAACTTGTAACATTCCTTTGTTTTCTAGAGATGAAGACCGCATCGTCATTTCTCGCGGAGTTCCAATCTTTGGTGAGCATTCGCCTTGATCAGTTTATGGACTCGGAGTTGCCGAAAAAGGTTGATTTGTAGGTGCTTCCAATGGTACGCTTGGTAATGCTGTTCGCAGAATGTTGGAACGACAAGATGTTAAAAATGGTCTCTTACCTTCACCTTCAAGGTAATACTACGAAATACAGGAAATCTAGAGATATTCAAGTATAGTGCAGTATAATTTTCTCTTAGATACTTCGTAAGGAGTACTCCTCACTGTCAATATCACAGGTGGGCATAAGAGAGAAAATAGTACTAGTGCATAAGAGAGAAAATAGATGTCTAAGGTGTACATGCATCCAACCATAACCGTACGCATGGTCTAAACTTCTTAATGCGCTTTCGGATTTGAATTCTGGGATTTTTGTTTTTGCAAGATTATAAGATTCGTAAGTTTTTATATGTATGGGGATGAAACTTTTGAGTAAGGGCACCCAAGAGTCTTTTACACCGTCAATATAGCACTTTACTCAGTCAAATTAGGCAGATGATTTATTTTGCAGAAAAACTTGTTTTGCAAAAGCAAAAAAATGCAACTCCAGAGGAGTTTTTGCCTCATTTGAGCTGATACATCGGGTAGATAAAAATGTAATCTACGAGCCATCACTAAACGTGGGAGTGATTACCAGATTATAAAATGCAACTTAGCATCAATTGCCACAGATTTGATTTCGAGTTCAACATGCCGTATTGTACGCGAAACCCTAAACTCTCTGTGATCATCTCTCCATTTTCTGAAAGATATGCGATATGAGCGTGCACCAATTGTTTTACAAAGCGAAAATGTGAATAGATGCCAGTAATACGCACATTGTTTGTTTACTTGCTAAGGCCTGTTGCTTATTGTTTAAAAGTCGGACCATGAAGATGGCTGGGTCTCTCATGTGATTTTGTTAAATTTGATAGAAAACCGATCATGTTTGGAGGGCTTACAGTAAATTTTGACATCTTTCCTAAAGTTTACTGAGCTTCAAGAAAACCTATCTTCAGTATAATGATTGGCAATTCGACAATACTGTTCTGAGGGTTTTGATAGAATATTCGTTTCAGGAAGCAGTACACAATCAGATGGAGTGTTCCACGCCCAACAGCTAACAGTAGAGTAGTTCCTCAGCGACTATTTGCTTCCATCGAACAGGATGAATTCCGTCTTTGTGGTGCTTTTACCGAGGATACTGTATATACTTAAGATTACATCGCCAAAGTCAATCTGTAATTTTGTATCAAACGGGATTGTGGGCAGTTGTAGAGAACATGAACAAACAGAAATCTATGTGCATGATTCGGATGCTTATTTAATGAGGTTACAACGTTTTGAAACATCTATTAAGGTCTAATAAAACATTTGGAACGTTTGATTGAGCTTCGTTAAAAAGTCAACAAAGAATATAGCACGACCATGTATAATGAATTAACTAGACGTTTCATCAAACTGAACACAAGTTTGAGCAAATTCGCTTAGTTCCTGAGATTCGTGTTTAGTCGCTGGGACCGCGCTCGCAAATTTTGCGCTCGTACTTTTTATTCCTTTC